CATGAAAGCATTTTTTCTCCAAAATCCTTAGTCTTCCATCATCAAAAGACACATGACCAAAAATTAGTTTAAGGAATTATGATTATTCTAGTGTTGTTTTTCAAGCATTGACAATGTATGTAGTATGACAATGTATGTATGTACCTGTATGTAGTAGCAGAATTTTTACTCTGAGGCAACTGCACAATTCTTGTCATTGGTGAACATCTGCACTGATAATGCTAGTTCACCATTACCTTAAAAAGTCTAGGTGGCGTGCTAATACAGGTGAAACTGAGCATTTTGTACTGCCCTTTGGCACTTGTGTAGAGTAAAGATAGTATTAGATTTAGTGTTTCTGGTCTCCTTTTGTTTTTTGTCCTAAAGATGGGATGGGGAAGTTATGAAGCACCTGACCATCTGCTGGAAAATTGAGGATTCTGTTACCAAACCCTTCATTATTTATTAGGTGTGCCTGTCTGAGTTTCTTGGCAGAAGTTTCTTTTTGGAGACTGAGTATCTTGAGATCAGTCAAGTTTTGGTGTACTTCTTTTTAACTCTCTTTGACTGCACAAAATTTCCACATGTGACTTGTTCTTGAATCTTCAGTGAGATTGTCTTTTGATTATTTTTATTCTGATCAGCTGCTGTGCATCTAACAGTTGTTTCTTTGAAATTTAGGGCTAGAATTCACTTGCATTCTCTGAATGTGGTTTTGTATTGGTAGTCATTTATTGGAAGAGGAGGGAGAAGGAAAACCAAATTTCCAGTGAAGACAGAGTAGAATATGCATTGATTTGGATGGTACCTTGCAGTGATATACTGTAAAATGGCAGGGAATAAAAGGAACAATTGATAGGATAGAGCATAAAATTGAGTTTGTAAGATCAAATGCTCTTCTTGGAGCAGATAAAGCCACTTCACACCTTTATAAGAATGTCAAGGAAGTACCATATGAAAATGGAATCAGGTAAGCGATCTCTTTAGTTTTCTCAATTAGTTATATATCAATTGTGGTACACAATATGAGCACATATAGGATTTAAAGTATGTGATGTTTGCTATTTAACTCCCATTGCTGGCTCTCAGTTTGCATTATGCACCTTGAAGTTGTAGGTGCAGATGTGCATCTTTCTGAGGTTGGACCTTACAGTGAGTGGTCTGTGTGTGTGTCTGTCTGATGCTCAAATAGTTCCCTTTGCTGTGGCAAGTTGTAGCACAACAGCACAAGTAAGGGATGATGGTTTGGAGAGTCTCAAATACACATTTTATTTTTACCCTTACATGCAATTTATTTCCTGCTTAAAGTATAAACATGTTAGAACTTCCAGGATTTCCCATTTCTGTAAATTTCTTCGCTTTCAAAGTCCCTGTGTCATTGCTACTGCTTTCATGGCCATGTTGTTAAGGGAGAAGGTTTTTTCCTTTGGCAGCAGAGGCAGTTTTAGTACCCTCACTGCTTTCAGACCAAACCCTGCAGAACTGTTGCATGCAATCATTCTGTAGCCTCTGGGCTTGAAGTATCCTCACTTAGTCTGCCACTTGACCTTCTGAGCTTGCTTCACCTTGCGGTTTCCAATCTACATAATGATTTTGTGTTACACTTTAGTTAAATGGTTTCTTTTTGACAAATGGAAGTACCTCCAAAGAGGGTTTAACCATATATTCTGCCTCAGCGATAATACCACTCTATTTGACTTGATTTATCTATAAATATGAATGTCTTTCTGAATGCCAGCTTAAATTATGTACAAGTAGAGATTATAAATTATCTGTATAAAAATTACTTTCTAGGAATATTGTACATATAAAATGTATGCTCTGAGTAATGCTGGATGAGGTGCTGTTCAGCATGGAGCTGACTTTTCATGAGGGAAATCTAGGAATTGCTATAATATGTGCAGTTAAAAACTGTGGTGATATGTGATTCAGAAGCATATCCCAAGCCAGCTGTGTCAGAAGGGTGTAGAAGTGCTGTCTGTCAGCCTAAAGACTTGCAGTCTGAACCACAAAATTCTCATTGCCAGGGCTGTCTTAGAGTTCTAGCTTTGCTGTGCCTTATACACCACTACAGTCATGATATTATGTGTTCCTAGACTCAGGAATTGTATTGCCTTCCCTAAAAGTCATCCATGACCCTCTTTTTCCTATGAAGTGGAAATAAAAGGCTGTGTGATGATTAAGACTTTGATATTTCAGAACTTTTAGTGTTTCACATCAAATTGTTCCTAGAAATAACAGATTGCAGATGTATGGAATATTTGAGAAGGCTGTGGGGAACAAAGAAATTTTACATTTTTGTGTTCCTCCCTGGCACTATGAGCTTCTGGTGAATTCTGTATTCACTGAGAAATAATTAAACCAGTGATGTGGTTAACATGTGCTCCACGAGAGAACAGCAAGATGCAGGTTTGCTCAGTTTTAAGTCTGGTGAGTGAACCCTTGCCTGCTGAAAAGAGGAGATCCTAGCAGTGGGAGGAAGGATTTGCAGTATAGCAAAAGACTGTCAAACATTTTACTTGGCATACCCTGACCTACAAAATTTGATGTACATAAACTGCGTAATGCATTTTCTTTATAAAACTTTTGCTCTAAATAAATATTGCATTTTCATAAAGAAGCTGATTGTTGATCAATGCTGTTACTCTGTCTTTTCTTAGTTCTAGTTTAGTGCTGCTGTGTGTATCTGCTGTCACATAAGTGGCTATGTAAAAGAAACTCATTAAAAAAACACTCAAGGTTTGGGTTCTCATCCTAGTAGCAGCCTCAGACTGCCTTGGATGCCTTGAAAAGGCGTATACAAGGATCTAAAGGAAAGTGATCCTTGAAACTATAACAGTGTTACTTGGCTTACAAGGTCCCTTGTCCAATAGTTCTGTCCTTTCAGAGAATTTAATGGAGTTTTGTCTGTTAGATGTACATGGCAGCCTTTTTTACTCGTTTTCACAGAGCTCTGTGTTGTGTTTGTGTCTGTGTTTTTCATTGTTTGTGTGCTGATAAGTAAGTATTATATGAGGCTTTGGATTGATATTTAACAGCTGAGATGATTGCTTATACCACTGAAAACATTTGTCATTGCTCATTCCAGTGTCATCAGCATGAACCAGCTGAACTCTGCCTTTCTTTTTCTTTGCTGCCCCTGGGGTTTAATGGCTTTGCAGAGCAGGTCCTGCCTGGCATATTGAGCTGCTCCAGAGGGTCTGACCCATAAGCAGTGAGTACTGAACTGCAGCACACTGATGCTGGAGGTGTTCACTCACCATGCTGTTTTCAGTTGCAGTTCTCTTGAAGGTAGATAATCTGTGGAGACCATCAACACATTGAATCTTTGGGTATCAATCTGAAGATATATTTCTATGGCTACAAATGCTGTTTCGCTTTTCTTTTCTTGGAAATTAACTTTTCTCCTGTGCGCTTACTGTTTGCATTTAAAACTAGCTTTCATGTGTCTGTGGCTCTTGCTATAGCTGGCAAATGGTTATGTCTCAAATCTCCAGTGATATGTGTTCTTATAGAATTTTTGAGCCTGATGTAACCCAGCTTTCAGATGGGCATGAATTGAAAAGCATCTGTAATGTTTGGTGTGACTGATATCAAGATATGATTGACCAGGTCTGGGTTTACTTTGTTACTAGAAAGTAGTTTAAAATAACCATCTGCAAATTCAGGCAGGGAGAATCTATAATTCTGATATGTGTTCATTTATGATACAATTGCTTTGACAAAGTTGTCAGATTTTTTTTGTCTCAAGGTAACAAGCAGTTTTTTATTATTGATGTGTTGTTAGACTCAGATGTCCTCTCAAAATTCCTTTCCTGTTTGGTTGGAGGTAGAAAACAACTGTTTTGGTAGTCTCAGTTGTTTCTTTGTAAGTATTTTTCTAGAGAGAAATGTGCAACTAATTTGGCTAAATTGTGTGTTCCAGCTGGAGGCTGCTCTGGGGAGGAAAAAAGATCTTATGGGCATGGACAGTTTTGGTGCAACCTTGCCTGTTAATAGGTGCTTTCAGACTTGCCCAGGATGGGTTAATGCCTGTAGATCATGGCAGAGTTGATTCAGGAATGCTGAACAAATCAAGTATTGGGCAGTGTGCACAGAAACCAGTTCATTCGTACCTAAAGATAATCCAACACAGGGAATTTTAGAGAATATTCTGCAGGTTCACTTTGTAAAGGAGATGTGATGTTAGAAGAGAACTTCTTGTAAACTGGGGTTAACATAGTGTATTGCTTTGGGTATTTTCAGTGGAGCCTTAGAGAGGTCTTATAACCTTTTTTTTTTTTAAGGCTACTGACTTTCTGAGATTTGAACACCTGTGGCATAATTGACTTTGTAGGCATCTGGGAGGCTTAAGATGTTGCTGATGTTCTCCTGCTGTTTTTCTCTCAGCTGAAGGTTGCTGCCCTCAAAGCTGAGCCACCCTTGTGGGTCATGTGAACTATACTAGTCCATTCGGTGCAAAGTCAGCCAGGTTATTTTAAATGACTGCTGAATACAGCTGAGGGTAGTAAGGAACAGCTTAATGTAATAACTAGTTAAACCATTCCATCTAGACTTCCAAGAGCACATCTGTCTGTGTCCTTATAAGTACAATACTTTAATTTTTCCATTGCTGTATTGTATTCAGGATTTGTCAGGACTGCAGAACTGTTGCCAAGGGGAGTCTGCAATTCAAATGGAATGTATTGGTGCTTCCTATCTATCATTATTATCACATTGCAATACAAAGATTTGAATGATGAATGTGTAACATATATATTGAATGGTAATGTAAGTTTATTTTCATATATGAGATAAATGTGTAGAAGTCATATTTTGGAAACTCTTGGAAAGAGGTTACCATACAAAGTCTTCTATATTCTTGTTTCTAGTTCAGCCACTTCTAGCCACTTACCTTTGATTCCTAGCCATTTAAATTCTCACCTTCTCTGTACCCTTGCTTCATTGCCCCCAAAACTTCCCTGTATTGATTAGAAATATAATGAATTTTTTAGCTCTATTTTTTTTATTTTTTGCCCCAGGTCCAGCAAGACTATGAATCTGTGTTCCAAATGCTTTGCTGGTAAGTGCAGTAAAAGGTTTTGTGTTTCCCTTAGATTATTGAAACCACATTGTTGGCATCTCCCTTAGGATTTGTGCATGGGTTTCTTTTCCTTCAGTGTGTATATGTAATCAGATTTTCCTCACTTTAGTGCTTCCTTTATTTGCTAATCAAGAACCTCTTGTGTAAATGTACCCATCAAACTTAATTCTTGAAGTTCAGGGAATTTAGGTACATCCTTGTACTACAGAGCCCCATTGCCAGCACAGCTCCTGTATGGATGATGTGGTTTCCACAACACATAAGTCTGAATTGTAATTTGGAATTTTGTAGGATTTATTGTGTAATAACTTCTGATATATAGAATGGATAAAAAAAATTAAAATAAAAAGTTAGCATAGAACACCTCATTTCATTTCCTCTAACTTGCAGCCCTTGAACATTAAATCATCAGTAAGTCATTGGTAGGCTGTTCTAATTACTTCATATTATTTTCCTATTGTAAGGTCATTGCTATTTTGTAAAATCTTAAGAATTGTTTTTGACCTTTTCCTGTTAGCAGCTTCTAGCTTTGCCCTTCTGAATCAATTTTTTTGTATTACTTAGTAATGTAAGCTTACTTTTAATTATAATTAAGGTCCTGTCATAGCTCATAGTTTTTAACTGCCTTGGGGCAACAGATAAAATTTTAAAAGGTCCGGCATTTGTTTTTTTTTTAACTTTAAAGCTTATTTTGCGTTTTTAAAACAACAACAAAAAAAAGAATTTTGACTTAGATTTCAGAACTAGGGTTCAACATCACTTCATTAAACAAACACCTGGGAAATAAAGATTGCTAAAAGGTTGTTCAGCAAAATGTATTTCTCTGGCTGTTTTCCAAAGGTATGGGTCTCTGGAAATGGTATATTGAAGAAAGTATAAGTCATTTCTTGTACTCTTTCCCTACTGTCCACATTCACAAACAAGTCTTTGATTTGACTCAGTAGGGCTGTTATATTCATACTAGCACTGTAAGTGGCTTGTGTTTGGGTACTCAGCAATGCAGGTGTTCTGATTATGTGACATCAAAACAGCCCAGCCCTCATTTGCTGAGTTTAGCAGAGTACCCAGCACTTCACAGCCAGCAGACCAGGCATCAGACAGAGCATCTTTTCTTTTGGTGTTTACTGGTTTGGATTTTTTTTGTTTGTTTGTAATTTTGTTTCTTTTTAAAGAAAAGAAAAGTTCTTGGCTTCTATTCTGCAATTTTTCCGAAATGCCATTACCTCTGATAAAGTTAATTTTTCTCTGCTGTAAAATTTTAAGATGAGACCTTATGTGATTGGCGGGGTGGAGGTGGGAGAGCTTATGTTTTTAATTTTTCAAGATGTTCCTTAGAGCCTGCTTATTTTAATGACATAAGTCTCTGTAAGAGTTTTAGTAACTTAAAGAGCTGCTAGTGGTTGGAATAAAGGTACTGTAGAAGGTGCTGTGGAAAAAGACAAGTTTATCTTATTTAGATCTTAACTATGGTTTCTTCAACAAGTAGTATTAAAACTACTCCAACTCTGTTGGAGTCATAATTCAAAACCTCTCAGTGTCATCATTCCAACATAAAAGTGGTTTTCTATTTTTTCTTTTTTTTCCTTGATGTTACTGAAATAGCTTTAGCATATTTTTCTATACTGGGTTTCTAGCTACATACTGATATAGAAAGATATGTACTCCTGTTTCTGTAAATTGAACCACCACAGGTAGCAAGATTTTAGGCAAGTAAGGTGTTGAAAGATGTTTTTCACTGTTTCAGGCGCTCCAGAGAAAGGATGTGAAAACTAGTTCCTCTTTTTTCTCTTTTAAAATGGCAGATTATTTATTCAAATGTGTTGAAGCAGAGGGAAAATTTCAAAATACTATTTGTCTTGACCATCGTTTCCTTTTTCTTTTATTTCAGAAAAAAGAAATCCACACAATGAAAAAGGTTAGTAACTCTTTAAATTACTTCTTTTGATCATTTTTTTCTAGAGGGAAGAATCCAGTCTTCCTTTAAAAAAAAAAATAAATTTGAGACACACACTGCAGGAAAGACCCTTACATTTGTGTAAGCATTCCTTTCTTACATATATCAGGGGAGAAGGGCAACAAGTCCTGAAGGGATGAAATATTCTGTTTGCAGTACAGTATGATTTATTCACAGAACATCCCTACCTTAGCAGGTTTTTCAGACTTTCTGAACTGTCAACAAGTTTGTAAATACATGATCATGAAGTCTTCTTTGCTTCTGCATTTCCTGGCTTCCCCATAGTTCTGGTTGTGCCAGGCCAGGGTTACTTTGTGCAGGTTCCATGAGGTAATTCTGCACCATCTCACCTCATAGCCAGGGGTGGGGGAAGGGGACACTCCTCCAGGGAGAAGGGGTGTCTTCCAGTCAAGAAAGTCTGGCAGAGAGAGTGGTTGGGTAATGCCAGTTCTGAGCATTTTGCATGTGAACCACTTTCCTCTCTCTGGTACATTTTTGTTACTAATATTGTCACTGTCAATGTTCCTTCTCTTATCTCATTGCTGTTTCCAGTAAATTGTTGTTATCTCAGCCTGAGATCTTTACCTTTGTGCCTCCAGTTCTCCTCCCCGCTAGGGGAAGGGAAGAGAAGGGAGTGGCTTGTGGTTTGGAGTTTCAGTGGGACACTGAATTTGAGAATACCATTCCTAAAAAAAGACACCCATCCCTTGGGGGAAAAATGATCAAGTTTGACATAAATTGGATTAATTAGGCCAGAATTGGAGCAAGGGGTAATGTCAATTTGCCTTATTGTTTGACCAAGTGCTTCTGTTTTCTAAATTTATTATCAAACTAAAATTCACTGAGCTTTCACCCACATTTGTGCAAAGATGAAACAAACTGCAAAAGCAACCAGATAATATGGCAGGGAGACTAACATTCCTTATTTTGACTATCTTTTGTACTTTTTTTATACATTAAACATGAGAACAGTGCTCACAAGATATTACTGAGATAAGTTGTTGGCAAGAAGTGCTGAGTGTATGGCAAGAGTGAGCTGCATACTGCACAGATACGTGCAGCCCTTTGTCTGTAACTGCCCAGTGTGTTCATGTGGATCCAAAAAAGTTCACTAAGCTCTTCTGTACAACCACAAAATTGCTGTTCTTTTGCTCCAGACTAGTTCTTAGCTTGCAGATAAGGGTTGATAAATACTGCAGAACAGCTTGAAGTTAGCTGCCCTCTTCAGCTGTCTTTGCCTCCTCTTCACACCATCTGCTTATTCCAATAAGGAATACCTGACTTTACTTAAACCCTGTAGAAGCAACAGACTCTAAAATGTTCAAGAGCTTCTCTGAAGTAATTTCAAGTTAATTGTACTTCTGCAAAGTACTTCACAACATTCTGTCTCCAATTCAGTGCTGACCATGTGTTATCAATGCCTCAGAGTCTCCAGATACAGAACAAGTGCAACCCTACATATTGAAGTGCTTCGAGTAAATATGCTCTTTAGATGGTGAAGACATAGTTACTTCAGACTTGCCATGCATCTAGGATACAAATTCAGTAAAGTAATGTGGGTTTGGGAGGCTTTTTGATGTTTATTCTTTTGGTCAGAATATAGGCTGATAAGTAAAAACAATGTAAATTATGGCCAAAGTATCTCCCTTAATGACCCCACATCTTTCAAGAATGCTGCAGCATTTATTTTTTCATTACACTCAACTGTGAATTTTGAGTGATTAAATACAGGACAGTGATAAGTTAAATTTTTCAAAAGTACTCTTTATTAACCTATCTTTGCTCCCATTAGGTTTATGGAAGTTCTAGTATCAACTTCAGGTAGGGACATTGTTTGAGTACCTTTTGAAATGCCACTTGATAAAGTAGAATCTTTCAGGCAGAAATTCTGCATTCATGGAAACGGCACCTGTACCTCAAGAATTCAATTTTAATTGGAACCTCTGGGAACAGTCACAGAACGAACTATTACAGAGTAAGAACAAAAATTTAAATAGAGAAAAGGATAAGACTACACTTTCTACTTACATCACCCCCCAAAAATGCAGTCTATTTTATTCCATTTGATTATGACCCTGGAAGGCTTAATTTGTGCTATGTTCTATCAGCAATGGAAAGAGAGGTACAGGAAATGGATTTCAGCTTTTTCAGTAGTGTGTGAAGCTAAAGGTAAGTGCAGCACTGGATGGTTTGGTGGAGAGATGCAATTGCAAAATTGGAAGAAGTTGAAATATGGTTAGAATTTTCATGGATTTGTGAATCAAAATCATAGGAATTCTATCTGAACATGTAATTGGAACTTCTAGAGGTGGGTATCTGTCCCTTAATCCAGCTGTGCAATATTTATATTCATATTGTGCAAAGTACTATATCAGTGTTACTGAAACTGAAAAAATAACTCAGCCATATAACGCAAGAATTGTCTGAGTTTTAGGGGCTTCCACTCATAGATTGGTCTTGTTTTTAGGTTGAAGTAAAACACCTTTTTTAATTACTGGATTCTTGATGAGTAAAAAATTAGAAATTTTTAATCTTCATTATAGTAGCGGAAAGTCAGTATTGCTAGAACCGCATCTGTATTTTCAATGCGTATGCTTAACTCTGTGCTAGGCTGTTATGAAATTTTGAAATTTTGATAGTATTTTTTATGTTCCTGAATTGAAAAGATCTAATAAGGAGTGAAAAAGAAACATAGTACATATTAATGTCTATTTATCATCTGAACCTAGAAGTGTCAGATTATTCACCTATTGCCTGAACTCAGGTATCTGACTATGGAGTTACTTAATATTTTTGCATATCTTAACCTTCCTCCTTTGTTGAGCAGATCTTTATTTTGTCATGCTTAAATCACACGCAGTTTTTGGAGCTTACAAAATTGGCAAGTTTTTGTGTCTCAGACTCATTGAATAGTACAATTTCCTTTTCTCTCAGTTTTTGTAAATCTTGGGAGCTCTTTACAACTTGTCTGTTATTGCTGCCACGTCTGGCAGTAATGACTCCTATTGTAAGCATTAGCTGGCAAAAATCAGCGTTCCTGCCTAAATAGATTTTGCTGTTAATTAACTGCTGGTTTGATTCTTAGTCAAGCTTTCAGCTTGCTTCCTGGAAATCTTTTCAGCAGGTGCATCTTGCATGTTGCTAGTTCACGTTACGCTTTTTTTGCTGTACCCTGTTGTATGGTAATTACTAAATTATGCTTCGTTAGGCATTGTGGTCATAAAGTTTTCAGTCCTGAAAGAATGATACAAATATTTTATGTTTGTATTTTTCATACACTTGTAATTTCTGATGTGAATCCACAAGTTTTAATGCTTTGTTAGAAAAGCAGCAAGAAGTGTTTCCAGAAATTTGAAAACATGACTAAGAACTAGTTTTCTTTACCACAAGACATTTCTTTTTTCAATATGGTATTCCCTTTGTTGGCTCCTAATAGAAGCCAGTGCCTCAATCTGTTGCTTCATTAGGTTAGAATTTGCTGCTATATTCACATCTTTGTGCTTTGAAGTACATGGACTGCTTGCTACAAAAAATGGTCCTCACTGACTGGAGTTTGAAAGTAGTCAAGCTTCATCTTTAACTTCCATTACACAGTCAAACTTGCAGCTAAATATTTCTTTGGAAAATTGTATAGCTGTTACAGTGGTACCAGAAATGTTTCGTATTTCTAGAGCACCTTCTAGTAAAGAATGCAACATTTCAGATACAACCATAGATATTGTTTGGCATACACTCAATTTCTTTTACTCTGTACCCAAAAAATTTCTAAATGGGTAAACCTGGTAGGAAAAAGATGTCCTAGCATAATTAGTAAGCTTGAAATGTGAGATGTGCGCTAAGCTTGAAAAAGAGAGTCACCATGAAATGGCATTAAGAAAAAATTGGATAAACTGCTTCAGTTATTTATATGCTTGATTCGCACTGCTGACCCAAATAATTTCTTTTTCTCTGTTAGTATGTATTATTCTTTGACTTTGAAAAAAATTTAAAAATCTGAGTAGTAGCTCTGTTTGGATTGTTAAAACAGGGCAGTATTTTGTGGAAAGGTGGGGATGGGATTTTTAGTTGACTCCTTTTAACCCTAACCTGTCTTAAAGGTTTAGAGGGGAAATACAAATCAGGAGAAAATGAATTTATTTAAATACAGTTGTATGATCTAAGCTTAGGACTAATCATTTTACATTTGTCAAAAGTAAACATCAACCAAATCATCTAGCATATTTATACAGTGCCTTCCTAGGTCTCAGTATATACCGGAGAATTGGAAAGTTGGGAGAGAGGGATACCTGAAGCATTCTAGCCTTGCTGGAGTTAAAATACACATCACATGTTGAGTGGAGTTAGTAAAACAAGACTTGAGTTATCCTTATCTACATTGTTGTGGCATGGAAGCTGCAGAGTACAGTGCTCCTGTGTTGCTTTGTGACAGTAAATGATATGATATGGCTATGCATTGTATAAAAAGGTGTGGAAGATGCTGAGTAGAAGGCACAACCCTCACCTTCCCAGGACCTGGCTGTGTGAAGACATTGTGTACACAGCAGTGCAATGAAGGGTGTCAACAGGGCCAGTGGCTCAGCTCAATTATTTTGTCCCTTTTCATCCTCCTTTAAGTTCTCCTGGATCAAATAGTGGGAAGGGGCAAGCACTGATGGGGGGACAGACCCATGAAGTTTCTGTGCAATTGTTAGTGGAAGAAAGAATTTCTTTCACAGCTGCCACTCAAATGTTGTGTATTGAAGTAGAACAGGGTCTTCTTTTTCTCTTTTCTTCTTTATGGCTTCTTTAAGTTAGTGGGGCATTATCCTGTCACATAAGGGTCTTTTCACCAACACAGTCTAGTAAAATTGAATGCCTTTTAATTAATAACTGTTATCATTTTACAGTCAATCAATCCTATCAGCAAACTACCCTGTAGGACATTAGTGGCTGTTGGATTACATCTTGCAAAATTCAATCTA